GAAGTTCGCTAAGAAATGCTTCGCATTTAAAAATTTGTCTTAATGGCTGCCGATGAGACACGGCTAAGATTACCCATCGGTGGCACGAGCTTGACTCAACTGTTTGCACGCATGCCCTGAATACGCAGCTGAATACGCAGCGTCGTCTGCTCCAAGCTTGGGAGGAGGAAGGGGCGCACGCCATGCTGCGCCTCTCTCCACCTTCTTTTGAGCAAGTGCAGGCCAGCAGAGAACTCGCGCAGCCCTGCGATTGTACCGCGACAAAACGAGGAAAAAAAACAGTGCAGAGCGCACGCGCAGCACCACTAAATCGAAGAGAAAGGTGCTTGCCGCCGGTGCAGCCAAATCGAAGAGACCTTACGTTGACCCCTATTGCAGAAGCGCATTGGTGTCCAACTATGTCGCGGCTTGGTCTCGGTTGACCAGGACCTTCTGGCTCGCCAGGTTGGAGCAGCCGAGCAGGGCTGCCCGCTAGTTGGTTAGACAACGCCTGTATTAGGGGCGAAGCTTCTTATAACGACACCTGTTTGTCCCTCGTAGACGTTGTAGTAGTGTGTAACAACTATAACATTTTGACCTCCAAGGTGGTGCCGGTGAGAGATTTTTTTTCTGTGCGTTGTTGAACAATAAAAGATAGTGCTCAATGTACATGCCAATGGCCGCTAAGGGGGAATGAGAGACAGGAGAATTCGGCTTTTAGTTAACGCGCACGCTGCAAATATTTTATTGTCCAACAACGCACAGAAGACAAGAAAGGGTTGCCACGTTATATTCGCTTGGCGTAACCTCCTAGGTTTTAGAAAGGTTTAGCGAGCGCTGGGCCACAGTGCCATGAATACAATGAACTCGAGGTGGTTAAAGGTGGGAAGTAGACACGAAGCGCAAGCCGTGAGAAAGTGTGCGTGTGCCTCCTCTCGTTCAGTCCTTGGTGGTGGTGGTGGTGGAAACATATTTATTTATTTAATTACATGAAATTTTCTGCGGAGAAGCTCCGAGTAGTTGGACATGCTTGGCTTGCGGCGGGGGGCCCTTAGTCCAGGGCTCCGCTTGCAGCAGCCGCTCTGCGGGCCCGGTTGATCAGACTCAATTGATCTTCCAGGTTCTCGCTGGCCAGCAGCTCCTCCCATCGCTCCGCTGTTGGATTTTGTACTGGTTGTAAGGCTGTAATGGCCTGACACTCCCACGTGACGTGGTACAGAGTGGCTTTAGCTGAACACCATGGGCAGAGAGGAGAGTATGCCGAGGGGTGCATTTTACTCAGGATGTGCAAATTTGGAAACGTGCCGGTTTGAATTTGCCTCCAGCTGACCGATTCCTCTTTATTTAGTGTTCGGTGTGGTAGCGAATAAGCTTTCCTAAATCCTCTGTAATGGTTTAGGATGGCCGAATAGTCGCAAGGGACCGGAACGAGTTCCTCAGGGGCGGAGTTGGAAGGTGCTCGGCTCGCATACCCTCGAGCTACCCTATCCGCTGCCTGATTCCCCTCCAGTCCCATGTGGCCCGGAGTCCATATAATCCGATGCCAAATTCTGAGTGGATGTGTAATGGAATGCTCGCCAGTGTCTGTAACGCTCATGATGACGCTGAGAGCGGGTTGGCTGATGCGCCCCTGTAGGTAGTTGCGGCAAGCTGCTTGAGAGTCCGTGAGAACTGTCAGCGACCTTCGTTGTCTGTAGCCGAGGGCGAGAGCGAGCGCGATGGCAGTTTCTTCAGCATCGGTGATGTTGCGGCACCGCACGGAAGCGCTGGTACGTTCTGTGAGTGTGTGGTCCACGACTGTGGCTACAGCCTTATTGTTTGCATGGTCGTAGTTGGCGGCGTCAACATAGTACGTAGTGTTTTTGTGTGCATAAGTTCGCTCGAGGGCTTCCACTCTGGCTTCCCTCCGGCCCTGATGTAGTCGGGGATCCATATTGCGGGGGATGGGAGCGACTTTATAAGTGGCACGAAGTTGGTCCGGAATGGGCTTGCGACGAGCTGCGTCGTGAAACTGGCTGATGTAGCCGAGGCGTAGGAGCAGGTCACGGCCTGTAGGTGTTTGCTTGAGCCGTTGCAGTTGTGTGGCGAGTTGCGCTTCACAAAGTTCTTCAAAGGTGTTGTGTAGGCCCAATGCGAGGAGCTTGCTAGAAGGAGTACCCGGTGGTAGCTTGAGTGCCGCTTTGTAGGCCTTGCGGAGCATTGCGTCTACTTGGCCCTGTTCACTCTTGGTGAGGCGTTGGTAGGGCAAACTGTATGTCACCCTACTGACCACGAGGCTACGTATGAGTTTCAGGGTGTCCTCCTCGCGCATGCCATGGCGACGAGTGGCTACCCGAGATATCATTCGGGCCACTTGCAGTGTAGTGGTGCGGAGAAGGGAAAGTGTGTGATTCACATGGCGGTTCGACTGTACCCACATGCCTAATATTCGAATGGTGGATTTCTCTGGGATTTGTTTGCCAGCAAGGACAACCTGGAGGCGGGAGCCTTGGTTGTTCTGCGTCGATGGTGGGAGCTTGCGTCGATAAATTCGTAGAAGCTCAGATTTTTCTGTTGCACAGGCCAGGCCTCGTGCCTGCGCGTATTGTTCGACGCATGTGGCTGCCTGCTGCAGGTTATATTCTTTTTCTCCAAGGGACCCCCGCGTGGCCCAGACGGTGATATCGTCCGCATACATTGCGTGATGGATGCCATCGATGCGGTGGAGTTCATGTGCCGGGCCAACCATAGCTACATTAAAGAGTAGCGGGGAAATCACTGAGCCCTGCGGGGTGCCCTTGTTCGGAACCCTAATAACATGTGATCGGATGGAGCCGAGATCGACTGTGGCAGTGCGGTCCGACAAGAAGGCGTGGACATAACTGTAGACGCGCTGCCCACAATTAAGGGCCTCGAAGCCCTCAAGTATGGCCTGGTGGCTAACGTTATCAAATGCGCCCTTAATGTCTAAAGTCAAGATAATGTTTTCTCCTTGCTGGGGGGCGTTATCAATGACTTCTTTTAATTGTAGCAGTGCATCTTGCGTTGAAAGATGTGCCCGGAACCCGTACATTGAGTGCGGGAAAAGGTCATTGTCTTCGAGGTAATCTTGCACGCGATTAGTGATGACGCGCTCGAAGAGTTTACCAAGGCAGGAAGTGAGGGATATTGGTCGGAGGTTTTCGATCTGAAGTTTTTTGCCCGGCTTCGGTATCATTATGACCTCCGCGTGCTTTCATTCAGGAGGAAGCGTGCCACGTTGCCAATGATCATTGAAAAACGCCGTGATTTCTTGTACGGCGCTGTCGTTGAGGTTCCTGATAAGGGAGTACGTGATTCCGTCTGCCCCAGCAGCTGTGTTGCGATTGCTGCTGCGAATGGCTGCGTAAACTTCGTCCACCGTTATTGGTCGGTCGAGAGTGTCATTGGCACGTCCACGATACGCAGCTTGAGATGCGGGTGGGTAGAAATCACCAAAGCATTTTCGCCGGACTTGATCCAGCAGCTCATCGTCAGTACCCTCAAAGGCGTGTATGAGGCGCATGACTGACTTATTCGTCTCATTTTTTGTGCGAGTGGGGTCCATCAAAGCGCGCAAAATGTGCCACGTGCGGGCCGTGCCCAATGAGCCTCGAAGAGAGTCGCTAAACTGGGCCCAATTGAGTCGCGCCAGTTCTGTAGCGTACTGCTCTGCCTGAGTGGTGAGTGTGGTGATCCTTAGCTTGAGGCGTCGGTTATGTTTTTGCGTCCTCCATCTGCGGATGAGGCTCCTTCGGGCTTCCCACAGATGTAGCAGATGGCCGTCTACTTCCGGCAGTGCAGGTGTTCTGTTAATGGTGGTGGTCCAACGCTCTCGAATTTCTTTAAGTTGGGTGCACCAGTCGGTGAGGCTTGTGAGGCTGTCGAGTGAATATTCGCTCTCACGACGAAAGGCGTCCCAGTTTGTGATGCGTGCTTCTCCAATAGACCGACGCGCTGCGCTCTCTGTAACTTTTGTGCGGTGAATGAAGTGGTCGCTGCCCAAGGATTCCTGCAGGTTGTCCCAGTTATAGTTTGCACGGCCACGGGCGAAGGTGAGATCGGGGCAAGTGTCCCTGCACACACTGTTGCCGATCCGGGTAGGGAACGCGGGATCCGTAAGCAGTTCAAGCTGAAATTTTTCAGTGGCAGCCGCAAGCTGTTTGCCTTTGACATCCGAACGGTTGTAACCCCAGCGTTCGTCGAGAGCGTTGAAGTCGCCGAGCAGTAAGAGTTCTTTTCCCTGGGCCAATCGGCAGGCACCTTGGACGAGGGCATGGAAATCAGTGTTTTTTTGCTTTGGAGCGCTATATACGTTGACAATGATGATACTTCGCTTTTCTCCTTTCTTTTTTTGCCTGAGAACTAGCTCCACAATCACATGTTCTATGTTGGTGTCTGGGATATTGTCTAAGCCAACTGCGGTTAGCGCTTTGTCAATCAGGATGGCCGTTTTGCCCTTTGTTTGACTATTATAGGACTCATAACCTGAAAATATGGGTGGCGTTCCGGGCTCCTGAAGTGCTATGATATCTGGCCGAGCAAGGTGTGTGTTAATATACTGTTGGAAGAGGCTCCGCTTTCTGCGGAAGCCGCGGCAGTTCCATTGCCAGACTTCTAAATGTTCGCCAATGAGTGGGGCTGTGCTGCCCATGGTTAATTCGTTGAGTGGAAAGGCGTGGGTATCGGAATCTCGGCTTGCGACGCCGATGTAGGAGTGAGGGTGAGGGCGCTGGGTGTCAATGCGGGGGTAGCGAGGATTTCGGATGCATGTGATTCCAATCCTAGTCTATGGTAACCTTGATCTGTCGTGGCGTGCGAGCTACGAGTGGCCCTCTTCCTGCGTATGTTTTCACCTGTTTCAGCAATTTGCGCCTCGAAGCGTGTCTCGAGAGAGTCGAGGCGTTCTCCGAACTGCAAGAATACGGCACTGAATTGTTGCGATAGCTGCTGCGCGAGCGTTGAGAGCATTTCGTGTAACTCTTCGCGTGTGACTGTGGTGCCCGACGCAGCAGGAATAGACCGATCCCACCAGCCGATCAGCGCATGCGCCGGTTTTCCGGAGTTGCCCCGCCGCCATCTTAGTTGTAGTCAATCGGTCAACCAGACTACAGCGACTACGCAGTGGCCGCCGCTTTTTCAGTACTGCGCCGGAGCTTCGCGGACGTCTCTCCGATTTCACCAGCAAGAAAAAGTCGTCATGTGAGTATTTTCAATACCTACATTGTCTGTTAATGGGAGCAGGCGGCGCGAATTTCGGTCATAAGTGCCTGCTACTCCTTCGTTTCGGCGGGACTTAGGACAGCCACCCGTTCATTGCCTGTTGAGTACCGTTTTCATTTGAGTGATGTATGTAAGCGGTTGTTCTGCGCGACTGTTTTTTTCGCATGTGCATCTCGGGGATTGCAACGTTTGTTTGCACAGTGACGTGCTGTTGGGGACAGGCTTTATATGCGGCGCCGAACCTTTCGTGTCTTACGGCACTTACGTGCACGAGTGTCGCGTTCAACATACAGCATTTGGTAGTAATAATATTTGAAATTCTTAATTTGGGTGGCGTTCTGATTTTAGTCCACCGAACGACGCGGTCGCTATATTTTGAAAACTCTTGACATTGTAGCGTCCCATGTTTCGCGCACGTGAATATGCAAACGCGCCGCTCTCCATTAGCAGCTGTGATACGCATTCATCAGTCATTCGCACTTGTCGGTTGAGCCGCATGTAAGGATACGGAGCCGACAAGGGACGTTATCTTACCCTGATAACTAGTGCTGTCTTTTTATTGCCTTTGGTATATAGTTCCGAAATAAAGAAAGGGGAACGTAGTAACCATACCAAAGGCGAAAATGATCCAGACTTCGCTGGTTATCAGCGTCAGATATCGTTTATTTTATGTGTTGGCGACGGTCGTGGTGAGGGACTTCTGGTGTCGAATCTCTCCCTGCCTCCCCCCCCCCCCCAAAAAAAAAGGAAGCATGGGCAATAGCTTTCGCATGCCAAGCCGCCGCAGCGCCGTCACCTAATATCGCTGGTTACGTCAGTGGCTATCAGCAGGCTGTGCTGCACGTATCGAAAGCCACGCGTTCGTGCGTTGTTAACAGTATTTACCTCTGTACATGCAGTTACCAGAGAGCTGCAGGTTCGTGTGGTTGGAGGACGGCATCGCCTAGAAAACTGCATTCTTGCGGTACAGTAATGCATTGGCTGCATTTTTAAATAATCAATATTCTTTTCATGGATTGCGTTTTATTATGGCTTTTGTCGTGGTCCTGCGTTATTTCATTGCAGTTATTTTTTTTTCGTTGTTATAGCCCTGTTGTTTATGGTCTTTGTAATTTCTACTTCGCTAAGCTTTTTTCTCTTAAGAGTATTTACTGTGTGCAGTATGTGCAACAGTGAAGATTATCTCAGCACTAGTAAAGTGCAGTCCCTGTCATGGGATTACTATCATGTGACTAAAGATTTGGTACTGGTAAGGTCCTGAAAACAGGGCGAGCGATTTCTTCTCTTTTCTTCTCATGAGAACTACTGCTGCGTTTCAGTGTTTTTTGTGCTTTTTTGCATGATGCTACCACACCAACTAGTCCACACGTCGTTACTACTACTCATCGGGTACGAGCATCATGCAGTGGAGGCATATTATGTTATTAATACGTGCAGCTGGTTCATTGGCCTGGCTTCTGCGTGGACAACGGGCACCGACTGTCTGACACTGCCCGGGGTTCTTTTATAGAGTACGCAGCATGCAGATGTTTGTATGTTCCACCAATAGAGGGTAACGCCCTGATAAAAATATGTAATCTAAGAAAGTGTATTGGCTTAGCAGAAAGTTTAGCTGGCTATGTTCAGATTAAACTAACCTTCAGGCTCTGTTTTTTTTTTTTGCAGCTCCGTGTAATGCTGTGCCATGGCATCTGTATTACACAACCACAACAGTCAAGGGTGGACCTGCAAAACAAGCTCCCTGAACCCATACTTTGGAAAGGAGCACATTGTCAGGTATGCAAACTTAACTCGGCAGTCATGATTCTCTAAAACTGATGAGTGCTATTTGGGAAAAAAAGAGCATGCTGACACCCAAATGTTTCAGAAAGTGTAACGTTTCTTGAACTATTTCTAGTGCCACAAAGCTCTACCCATCTTGTAGGCTCTGTAGTATGCAAAAATTCTTCTCTTTATTAAAGTGGTACGCTACAGGCTCAGTAACTTTGTTGATTGTGTGGTTTAATCCGCCGATGCAATGCAGGCATGAGGCGCGCCGTAGTGGAGGGCTCCGTATTAATTTTGACCACCTGGGGATTTTATCGTGCGCCGGAATATTGAAAACACAGGCGTTATTGCTTTTCACCTCCATCAGAAAAGCGGCCGCCGCGGCCGAGAATCGAACCTGCATTCTCTCCCTCAGCAGCACAACGCCTTAGGCACTGAGCAACCGCGGCGGGTCTGAGTAACTTTGTGTTTAGCTGGAAAATAACGCCATTTGTAGCTTTCTCAGCTTTTATTCAATGACCAACAACTCTTGATTGCTGAGAAATGAATAATTAAAGCTGGCATTTCTTTCCTCCATTCCCCTCACATTATTTCGTGAAGTTTCAGACCACGTAACAAAGCGCCCAGATCGAGTCGAGCCCGACTTTACTCGATCGTCCCCATCTTCCTGAAAGTTTGTTCTCGCCGGCTATTACTTCCGTCGCTCCCAATCACAAAGTCAACAGTGTGCCGTGTGTTTCCGACAAAGTTCCACTGATTCCCATCCGAATACGTGCCAACTAGCGCAGCTCCCAACCATTTTGCTGTTACAATTTGAGGTCACTTTAAAATGAAGTTTTTTACATATCTGATTGCAGTAGACAGTCTTCTTAAATTTAGTTTTAGTTCTATATCTTCAGAACTTGCACAATGGACAAAAAGTGGGAGTGTGCAAATTTGTGTAGGGAATGAAAAGGTGTTTATGCACAGGAATGTACTCATGCCAACTGTTCTAGCCAAGTACAATTACAAAAATTTCTTCAGCTGTTTCTGCAGGCCTGAAAGTGGGATTATTTTTATTATGCAACAGTTAACTAAAGGGTGGAATGTGTAAATGTATATTATGGAAGGAAAAAGTCCTGCACAGCATGTAAACGTGAACGTTTATTCTTCATGCAGGTACACTGAAAGTAAAGGCGCTAGAAAACATCGAGATGCTGGCCTGCGGCTTTTCACATCAGGCCACCTGCAAAAGTTGGTGTTTTCAACTGAAGACACCGCAGAGACCGTGGTGAAGGCACAAGTTCTGGCATCCATGGCAACACGGACAGTGTACAGTGTTGGGGTGAAGTTGCTTAAGTGTGATGGGGAGCTTGTCAGTGGCAGCTGCTCATGTGTTGCTGGGAAAGGTGGTGTCTGCAAACATGTTTGCTGCGTTTTGTACGGGCTGATGCACATTGCGCAACATGATCTCACTGAAGTACCAAATGCCATTGCATGCACTGAAGGTGAACGGCAGTGGTACAACCCGCGGGATCCAAAAAAAGTGACTGAGCAATTTCAACAGATTGTATTCTCCAAGGACACCACTGAAAAAATCAGTGATGCACCAAGGCTTCACAAAAAACGAGCAGCCTACTCATGCTTGAGAACACAAGACTCGAATCTGTCAACACTGAGCCTCATAAACTTGCATGGAAACTTCAAAGAATGTGGGCTCGATTGCTTCGCAGACGTACTTGAAGCAAATGACTTTCTTCCCGAAAAACAAAGAAAAGTTGAGAGCCCCGCTACCGAAGATGTGGCTGGGCTACCTTTAAGGTGGCTGGAGCGAGCCAAACAGGGGAATGCTTTGCTGTCATACACAGACGAAGAAGTTACAGCCGTAGAGGCAGCCACACGACTGCAAAGTGCTTGCCTCCTTTGGCATATGTATAGGGAGGGTCTGATCACTGCATCTGTAGCGCATAGAGTTTACACATGGGTCAGGACGTGCCAAACCAAAATGGGGCCGCATGATCCCCGACGTCTCATCGCAGCAGTGGTTGGGAAAAAGAAAGGCAGGGCAACATTTGCCATGAAGAGAGGCCTGCTGTGTGAGCCTGAAGCCAGGAAAGCCTTTCAGGACAAAAATGACAGCCACGTGGAGCTTGAGGTGACTGAAACTGGCCTCTTCCTCTCTCGTCATCACGCTTTTCTAGGTGCAAGCCCAGATGGGCTCGTGAAGTGTAAATGTTGCGCACCACGGCTGCTTGAGATCAAAGTGCCCCTAAAAATTCAAGATTTTGCCAAAAGGCAGTTGCGTGCTGGGGAACTAAAAAAAAGTAGTGGCTATTATACTCAGGTGCAAGTGCAGATGGGTGTGACTGGTCTGAACACCTGCGTGCTGTTTGTTTACAGCAAGGAAGAGTGCCGACAAATCTCCGTGCCATTTGACCAGAGTTTCTTCACGGAATTCATAGAACGTTGCAAATTTTTTACTTCCAGCTACTTGCTTCCCTACATTTCCAGTAACTGGTAAAGTAAAGCTAGAAAATGTTTTCAAGCTTGTGCGTGTGTTCTGTCATACCATAAATACTTCAAGCCAGTAGAAGTAGCCCACCAGAGTTTTGCTTCTGTGCCTGTAAATTGCCTTTTCTACAACAAAGATGTTTATGTATGAGGTTTGTGCATTTTTGTTCTGCGTTAACAAGAACAGTCTACCCTCTTTCTTTGTACATCATTCACGTGCATAACTTGACCACGCTGGGGAAAAATAGTACAAATGAGCGTGAGGCCCTCCAGTGTGAAGCGTCTGTGTGCTTCATGCTAATTTCGCGGAGGCATAGGCTTGCTTATTTATGCCATGAAGCACACGAAACTGCACCACTGGCGTTATTGTTGCTACTAATATTCACACCATTATGGCTTGCGTGCTACAGTAAGGGCCGGCCTTGCTCCAAAACAGCAACTTATGTGGAATTCAAAAAAATTCTCGGGGCACCTAAGCTTGCTTACGTACTGTGGAGGTAAAAAGCCTGGTGATACTTATTAACTGCTTCTTTACTGATAGGGTATTTGTGTTATTTGTGTCTGTCTTCATTGCCACTTTGTTCAATGTAATGTTACATTGACGGGCTCTTTTACTGCTCGTATTTTGTCTTCATGGCCCCTTTCGGGCTGATTGGGTTATGCTTGTTTCCCTCACAGCATATTCATAAATAACATTATACACAGTATGCCCGCGTAAATGTATTGGCATGGTAACAGAGTTTCATTAGTCACTCCACTTGGACCTTATGCAAAGGCAAAAATGAGTACTGATGCAAAAAAAAAAACACTTCAACGTTGGCAGCGTACCTGTACGCAAGGTCAAGGCCGTCAAGGCCCAGCCGTAGCCTCATCAGGACGAGCACAAGCTGTGTCTTCAAAGGCAGGATGAAGTTCCGGTCCTCGTTCTCCGTTTCCTTCATCTGCCAGAACCGCAGCTTTTTCGCATCTGGTTCAAGTAGGGACCAAAAACTGTCGAAGGACTTTCTGGATGTAAAGCCAGTGTAGTACCGCAGCTTCTTTTCATCTTCTACAAGGGCTTCATACGTGATGTCAATCTTTTGTGTAGCTTCAGCCTTGCACCTCTTGACTTTCTTCTGCATACAGGATAGCTCAAGCCGCAAGCACCTATTCTTCTGCTGAAGGCGGTCACATAGCTTTTTTGCTTCAGCGTGGTCCTGTTGAGAGCGTTTTAGCTGGCGGTTGAGCTCTTCAACATGCGCGTAAGCAGCTTCAGCCTTTTCTGCTAGCTCAGTTATTATATTATTTTGGCAAGCAACTTTCTTGGCAAGCTGGTCATAGCTTGACTCTTGGCTGCTGTAGGCATGGTCCATGAGTAGAGTGCTTTGCTGTGCGGTGTCTTCACTGTCGCTGCTGCTACTAGTGATGGCAGAGCCTGAGACTTCTGGGTCGTGCTGGGGTGCCACAGTTGGACTGTTGGGAAGTTCCGGCTGTCAGGGGAAAATGAAAAAAGAAAGCCATGTGTTTCAGTGATTTTTACAACACACTGTGCAGCTGCAGGTGAGATTTCCAATACTGCATTTTATACCTTCACACGAGTTTAAGTTTACTCGGCATCATTGCTTTTTTTACGCAGTAGCGCAACCCTTAAGTAGCCATTGCCTGCATTAAGCCATAACAAAATATTCAGTGGTGCATATGCAACAACGTAATGCTATTTCTCTGCATTGCTTGCGCTCAGATTACCTGTGTCCTTATGAGTGGTCGCCTCCTTTCCACCTTTTGCGGTCTCAGCGGGAAGATTGTGGGCACTCTGTTCATGTAAGTCTTTTTTCCTCCTTCGAAGTGGGCACCGCATACTCGGTGTCCCGTGGTAGGCGTAAACTTGGAGAACCTGAGCACAAAAAGTTCCAGCATTATTTCATATGACACTGAACATCACCTACTGCGTTTTCAGGTTCCTTTTAAATGTCCAGTCTGCATGCTACCACTGCAAGACAACAGTATCACTTTCTCTTGATTAACGTACAAAAAGTTCCATATCAGTCAAGGGCAAATGACAAATGTAATTTTAATTTTCAGCCTCACTCGACAACGCCACACACAGGTAAATTATACAGCTGTTTGTGCCACTCATCTGCATAGGTGCAGCGAAATCGGCCGCGTGCATGCACCAGATAACTATTTTACGGAAAGGACGAGATTACAGAGGCACCGTTTGCATCGAGGGTGATCCGCGAAAGCTAATCGCCGTTTGGCACAACGAGTTCTGGGTAAGTTGTTGCAAGCGTGCCGTGAAGTACGTTACGTCGTTTCTAAAAAGTAAGGTCTCGATGTACGGTAGAGCTATTAGGAGAGCCTCGTCAATGAGCTTGCCTTCCCCTTATGCCTGCATGCTTGCCACTTGCGTTGTAAAAAAAAAAAAAACGCAAGCCGCGTACGCGGTGCTGCACTTGCGCAACATGGAAAACTAAAAGACCTCAGCACTACAACTCGTAATAATAATAATATTAGTACGCAGCGGTAACAAAAAACGCTAGAATAAGGAAGATGCGCTAAAAAATGACCGGCATGCACAACCGCGAACCGCGGCTAAGAGTATACGCAGGCAGAGTGAGCAAAGATCATATTCTTTGGTATGCTAAGCTTCATGATTAAACATTCACATAAAAAAAAACCACCGCAATACGCTTATTTAGTTTCAAAGCGGCACTATACATTTAATAAGATGTCTTACCTGCCGCCCCGTCCAGCCCTGTTGATACGCTGAATCCACGTCTCCCGAAGCTTTTGCTCTTTAGGAAAGACGTAGAAACCCAAGCCTTTATCCCTTGTGCTGTTGTTGTAACATCCAGGAACACAGCACGTAAATCCTCCCATCGTAAGACGGCTCCACACGACCGAAAAATCTATCGAAAAGGGAACGCTCAGGCACTTCGGCTGGCTGGTGCGCCCGGACGACTACAAGTACCGGCATGCACCGCGGCTGCCGCGGCAGCGGTGGCGTCGCGAAACTGGCCTGTGGGATCGGTCTATTGATAGCGCCGTTTTAGGGGTCTTCTGACTCTTGGGGGAGGTTGGGGTTTTTTTTTCGGGGGAGTCGGGCGGCGATCCAAGACGTGCCATTAGGGCATGAAGTTGAGAACTGTCCTTTGCTTGACGTGCCCTGACGGCCGCCAGCTCCTGTTTGAGTTTTATGTTTTCCGCGAGAAGGTGTTCGTATGCGGTGGACAGGGTATTGAGTGGAGCGATGGGAGGATCTACATTTGCTGACCAGCTCACCTTATTGTCGGCACCGGCTGATGGAGTGGGATTGGGCTTCTCATTATGCTTGCTGGAGGCGTGCTTGGACTGTTGACAGGTGGGTTGCTGCTGCTGCTGCTGCCCCTTGGTCATCTGGTTCTTCGGATGTTGTCGCTGCTGTGGTTGCTGCTGTTGGCCAGGTTCCACAGAAGGGAGGGGCGGGAAGGACTGTGACCTCGAGCGTGAGCGGGAGTGGCTGCATGAGGTCTCGTTTTCCTAGCTGAACCACCTACGTTTGGGAGCGGGTGGGTTACGATGGGGGTTGCGACCACTGGCTGGTGCTGCTGGTTGAGGAGGTGGCCGTGGGCGCGGGGCCTTCAGTCTCTGAGAGCACTCTTTCGCGCCCGTTAAGTGGGCATCTCCACACAAGTGACATTTGGGAGCACAGGGGTGACCGTCAACGGGGTTGAGGATACCACACTGCCGACACACGGGAGTGGTTGGCGTGGGGCATACGTCTGAGCGGTGCCCCGGTTGTAAGCAGACTTGGCAGGCTTGTCGCGTCGGCTTGTACGGATGGCAGGCCACCTCCCCACCGTAATACAGTACATATCGGGGCAGAAGGGGGCCTTCAAAAGTGATCACGGCAGATTTGGTAGTACCAAGCATTCGTGCACTGTGCACTGTCACTCCCTGCGTGCGCACGCGGAGGTTGGCGGTGAGTTCTTCCGGAGTTGTGCCAGGGTCTATCCCATGAATAACTCCTCGCAAGGTGCCCTCAGGGGCCGCCACATAGGTATTGAATTCGTAGGTCTTCCTCTCAAGCGTGAGGGTGGTGATCCGACGAAGAATTTCGGCCGTCTCAACATGTGGCGTGCTGGCAATGATGATGTTCGACCCGGGGCGAGTACGTATAATGAAATGATCACCAGTACAATGTTGTCGTGAATTGCCCGCCAGTGCTACGGCTCGGGAGATTTTATGCGTAGTGAAGTTCCGAATGGCCAGGTCCTTTTTCGGGCGCATGATGATCTTTATGTCCGTGCGTGGAAGCGGCGGCAGCTTCCGTCGTAGCTGGCGCGGCTTCGTTACGGGTGGTGGTGTTCGCGCCGGTGCGACGCCGGCCGCGTCTGCCTGGGCAGCAGGAGCGCTCGCACCCGCAGCTGCCCCGGCGTTGACGTGGCTGGGTGGAGTGCTTGCAGGACCGGCCGGCTGCATCAATTCCGCTCGAGCTTTGTCGAATTTTTTCTGGCGTTGACGCTGGCGACGGGAAATCGCCAGTTTCCAGTTGGCGTCGGTGTCGCTCGCCGGTCCCAGCGATGCAGACGATGTAGGATGGTGCACGGCAACTTCATCTTCGCTTGCCGAGGTGAGCTCGTCGAGGTCGAGAGATTCCGTGTTAACATGGGTGTCGTTGGGGCTGAATGCAGGTTGAACGCATCCGGTAGTAGTCACGTCAGCAGTTGGCGTAGTGCTAGCGTCCATATTGTTGTGGAAGGGGTCCCGCCGTTAGGCCTAGTCACCCGTACTCGCACAGGCGAGCTGGGTCGACGCTTAGGCCTAGCGGCCCAGCGCTCACATGGGTTCTTCTGAAGGCGATAGAGCAAAATGGAGATGCTCTACAGCCTCGGGAAGGGTGTGCGGTTCCCCAGGACAGTTAAAACTTGATGATCCGACACAGTGCCGGCGACGATATCGAAGTAATCCGGTCAACGAGAGCACACGTTCGGCGGAGCGCATGCGACGCACGTCCGCTCGCTCCGGCGTCCTTCAGTCCTTAGAATGTCCGCTGGATGGCGGTGCTTCTATATGAGGAATATATGATGAAAAGATGCGAGATGGTGGTAATTAGACTGTTGAATAGGGGGACGAACGGACGCACGGATGGCTGCACGGACGGATGGACGCATGGACGGACGCAGGAGCGGATGCATGGACGAAAGCAGGGATGGACGCACAGATGAACGTGCGGACGCACGAACAGACGTACGCACGGACGGGCGGATGGACGCACGGGCGGCCACACAGATGCACGCATGGATGGACGGAAGCAAGAACGAATGGACGGACGGAGGCTTCGCCCCACTATCCATCATTCACTCCGTGGATTTGCTGCCGTTTTTTTCCCGTTGTCATTCCCTCATAAATCGACAACATAGCTATATGTTTTCATTCAAGAGCTCTTGCGCTATTGGCTATTTTAATGAAAATGCGAGATGGTTTAATTGAAGATAACAGCTTATTGTGTCTAGTAAAAATACTTCAGGGTAAATATTAGTACTTCATTCATGTTATGAAACTTTGTCAAAATTTGTTAACAATATTTCCATTGAAACCGGAGACTTTAACGTGGTCATTCACAAAGATGGGTCAAAAAGCAACCTGAATGTTTTAGCACATTGCCCGTCTAACTCTTAGATATCAGTTGGCGTTTCGCGGGCCGTTTATAGTGCCCATAATGCCGCGGGACCATAGAGAAATAAAGGTTAAGAGTGGACACTCCCGTAGACCCCAGCGGCCCAATCGACCCTAGCACACCTAGTGGCTGGTGAGAGCAAGTGGCGTGCGCTTCCTGTTTCGGTTTCACTGGCGCAAATTTTGAATTACTTTGCATAACCGACGTTTGGCTATGACGAAAGTTCATGATTTTAGACCACTATTCATCGCCCAAATGGATAGTTTTTGTAGGTCGTTTTGATTTAGCGATTCCCTGTTTTGTTTTGTTCAGTGGTTCGTGTGAATCGGTCGTGACGTAATTTTTATTTCGATTAAGTTATAATAAAAAGAGATGCAGGTATTGATAATTCACTACGGTTTTATTCATCGCGCTTGTGTTTTTCTTTTGGAACGAGTGATCAATGTATATATCAGTCAAAGAGACAGAGTATCCGTAATGTTTTATTCAAAGGCAAGGTAGAGTCTGAGAATATAAAAAGCACAATATGACAAAGGTAGACAACAAATGCATCTCGCCTTAAAAATAAATTGTAACAAATACAGAGAGAACACAGACAACGCACACATCGCTAGAGTTGGCAGAAGCCGAGAAGCTGGTGAAGTATGACACACCGGGCCAGTGGGTAAGTAAGGATCTATGGCAAAAACACAGCGCACAATGCTGATGAAGAAGGAAGAAGTGACATATACACAGCAATGAAGTCGCGAATCACGCCTGGGGTTAACCGAAATAATGCATATAAAAAAAGAGCACACAGAAACCACACGACACAATATAGCAGAAAGGCAAAGGTGCAGTGTGCTGGCTGTGCTTAAGAACAGCTAGTCCAAAATGAAAAAAAGCAGACTTGATGCCTGCTTGTCCTCAGAAAGGTAGGGCTTTGCAGCTTGCTCACTACGTGAAAGACAAGCTTTATGCTACAACACTGGCAGGTCTTGCGGCTCTTCTTATGCGTCGCCTTCATCAAAAACTTAAGATCCCAAGCGATTTGCGTCTGGGTGTTGCTGTGACGCTTGCGAGCTAAAATATGTTGTAGTCATCACTTATCCAGAATTGTGGACCTTAATTGGTGCTACGAGAGCGGTATTACAGGGCTAATAAATAGCAGAAGGAAACCACTTTTGCTCATTATTTTTCACAAAGGCTCTACATCGTACGTTATCACTCACAAGCTATATAAAAATAAAATGGCAGCGTCCGCAGCCCCATCAAACGCTACAAGTTTGAGTATTCTTTCGAAAAATTTGATGGGCGAGATGAGGAGGTTGATGAGAAGCTAAAATACGAAAAGCGTGATAACGTGAACCGTGCCCACTTCATAATGTGTTCCTTACCCGCTCGAAGACATTTCAACAAGCGGTTTTGTTATCGATATATTACTTGAGCTGGAGAGATAAAGCATACACAGTGACCAAGCGAGCCTCAGTAAAGTGTACAGTTCGCCCGCATTTGCTACAAAAATACAGACAGGATACCCAACATTCTTTTTAAGGTTATGCAAATCACTTCGAGCGAATACACAGTGTCCCTACTCCTCATAGTGGGTAACCTAAACAATGTATGCAACGAAGGAGTGGCTAGTCCAGTTGAGCTGAATATAAGCATATAAGACCATAATGAAGTCTGCTGTAACGAAGTAATAACATAACAAAGCTATTGCAGGATTCGGCTCAACTCGAATACTTTAGTGTAAACCCGCCGCTAATTGCTAACCTTTGAACTTGTCAAGCTGTATGCCTGAGATTGAAGACTGGAATCTAACCCTATCTAAGTTTCGGTTCACAAAACGCACATGCCAACATAAACGAACCCGGCAAAACATTTTCAGAAACTTCGCGCGACACCCAGCAGAGCAGAAATGAAAATCGCCAACACTTGACAGATGGTGATACAAAACATCGCACACTTTCAGGTGATGTGCAGTGGCCTCAATTATGGCAAGAAAGTGAGATTCAAGTTGTTGTACGTATGCAAAAGCTGCTTCTGATGGCACAGTGAGATTCCCAAAAAGTTTGCTGGGGACGTGGTATGCTTTGAGCATTGTGAAATACTGGTGGGTACCCTTAAGCGTCTCACTGTCGTCTTTCAGTAACTGTGGGCAACTGCAACCGTCACATGCATTCCGAAGGAAGTGTTTGATGAGAAAACCAGCTACATAATATGCAGCGGAGTCATCGATAATATGGGAGTGAACGTTTGTCGCAAGTTCAGAGAGATCGTCTAGAGCGGGAAAGTCGTCAGGCTGTGGCTGTGCACACTCCTCATTATCCACAAGAGACGCACTGGTGAGGGAGAATGGCGAGAGCTGCTCCTGGAGGAGGTCACA